CAGGCAGGAGCCAGACTTGGAGGAGGGGAGTAGAAGCATTGCAGGGGAGATGAGGTCAGGGAGGTACTGGTGGGTGGAGTGGGTCCCCTGAGGGAGGTCACATCCAAGAGTGCAATTTTATATAAGCCAGAGAGAGTGATGAATTATCCTGTTTAGTGCAGCACAGATAGCAGAGAAGGAGGCTGAGGCTGTCTCTGACTCAGGTTTCCTTGTTCTGAGTGTTCTAAAAGATCACCTTTTACTGCCTTGCCTACAGCCAAGCAGATAAATAACCCCATGCCTCTCCCCCAGGCTGGCTTATCACAAGGGTGTGAGTAAGCCCTGATGCCTGGGTCCAAATCCACACTCCCAGCCTCCTGGGATGTCCATCACGCTGTTCCATTCAGACCTACATGCATCCTCAGGATTGAGCAAATCCCCTCCAGGTGCTGTTCCATGAACCCTACACCTCTTTCCATGGGAGACCTTCTTGGTGTTCTTCAGAGAGGCCAGCCACAGTCAGTGGTAACCCCATGGGCTGCCATGAGCTGAATAGCCAGAGAAGCTGTCCAACAGATGAAAGGAGTAGTTCCTCAGGTGTAACAGGATCCTTCCAGAGTTCAGATCCAGTTGTTGATCAATAATTAATTCCATCACCTAGCAACGGTGGTGACCCAGGCAAGGACCAGTTGTTGGGCACTGAGTAGACCAAACCTGCTGCCAAGAACCAAGCACTGCTGAGCTCCTCACCATTCCATCTGTGCAGACAACAGCTCTCCCCACCTTCCCCAACCCGTCCTGGTTTCACCCAAAGCAGTCTCCTTTAGAGCACTGTCTCTATTCCCATAGGGATCTGGAGGTGGGTAACAGTCGGCAGCAACACCCTGACCCTAATGTGCGAGCTGAAGCGTTTTGAGGCTTGTGCAGGAGTTGATGTGAATGGATGGTAGTGGCAAAGCCTCAAGAATGGTGTAAACACTGCTGCTGCAAGCTCACAGCTCTTGTGTGGGTGACCCACCAAGACAACAGGTCTCACCAGCTCCAGGATTTGCAAGCATCTCCATCCAGAACTAAATCAGTGAATCCAGCCTATGGGGCTTGATGTGCCCCCTTCCACTCCAGTCAAGCACTGAAGGTTCCACGAAACTCCAGAGGTTTCACCATGGCTCCCAAGGTTTTAAGGACCCAGGAGCCAACGCTCTCATGTGCATGTGTAACACAGCACAAGTGGCGATAACAAACCTGTGGATGGAAAACATGTTGCTCCTACATTGCCTACGGTGAAATTAGTAATGTGTTGATAAAATCCACTACCCTTCAGGTAGAAGGTACCACCCTCCAGGTGAGATGCAGTAGCAGCAATCTGGATTCTCCTAAAAGCAGTTTGGGATGGTACCAGGCCTCAGGGTGCAGATCACCAGGCACCACAAGCCAGTCAGGAGCTCCTGACCTGATGCAGAGGACCAAATGTTCTCCATCATTTCCAAAGGAAACAGCAGAGTCTGCACAATCCTACCTACACCCAGGCTCTGGTGAGTCAGCTCCAGATTGGAAAATCCCATTACCACCCATGGAAACCTGGTCAAACAATGTCCCAGATCACGCAGGGACTGCATGGGAGCCCAGGCCACTTCAGTGCCTCCTCACTTACAGACTGTGCCTGCCTGGGTCATGCAGGCTTCCCAAAGCTCTTAACCCACCCAGTTCAGTAATGCAACTTCTTGGCCTAGCCAGGCTTTGGAGGAGAGTGTTCAGCACCACCTACAACCATGCTGGCTCTGAAATTGGGGTGTTTTGGGCTGCTGCAGAGTGTGCCGTGGAAATACCGAACATACCACGCAAAACACTCTGCATCTCAGCCCTCGCTTGGCTGGAGGTAGAACTCTTCCCAAAGCAAGTATTCCAGGCTTGCATATAAATTAAAGCTCATAAATCAGTGGAGAAAAAATCTTCTCTTTGGAAATGGCCAACTTGTTAGGAGGGAGTTAAAGGCTACAGACGGTTTCAAGGGAGCCTTCCTGGCTGTCAAGAATGCACGAGGCAGCAGAGTTGTTTGGGTTGGGAGCACGAGTCGGATTTTTCTCCCCTCTTTTGAGGACAATGAAATGTAGCAGCTTTCCTTCCCCTCTGAGCTGCTCCGAGTGGCTTGAGCTGGAAGACAACAGCAGAGATACCATCTCTGGAAATCATGAAGTGACTAAAGAATGGCTGAGGAGTTCTGAATAACTAAATAAAGCCCTCTGTGTTTTCTTTAGCAAGTAAAGAAAATACTTTTAGCATTTTAGTGTGACTTTTGGGGTCAAGGGGGAATCTCAAGTCCAAATACAACAAACTGCTGTGGAAATTACTGCCAAGAGTCTGATAGGCTGGGAGCTTGCCTTAAAGCTCAGATGAGAGAATACTGCTCACAGAAGGCAGGCTGAGTCTGAGGTTTTGCTCAGATCATGGGAATCTCAGCCTTCCTGGAGGCGCTTGCTTTTAAAAGATTGAGTGTCCCTCAGCAGCCCATGGGAAGGGCAGGGACTGAGCTTCAGTGCTCCCCAGAGAGGGAGAACACCCCTGGAATGGGAGCAGGTCTCATATCCAGCAGCACTTCCAGGACACCAAGCACAGAGTCACAATTCAGGCATCTGCAAACGCTTCCCTGAGACCAAACACGGCTTCCCCTTGGGATTCTCGGGTCTGCTTCAGAACACCTGAAGCTGAAATGCTGACATGAAATGTTGAAATGTTGAAATGCTGAAGATCTGAAAATGAAATGCTCCCAAAGTGTTCACCATGGGACAGCGTCCAGAGCCTCCACCCAGTACCCAGCACAGGCCATCACATCCATGGCAACCCAGAACATCTCTGGTCTAAAACTATTCTGCTTGCCTCAGTCTCTTCCCCAAGCAGGAGCTTTCAGCTTTTCTTCTGTGTGCCATGGTGAGAGCAGCAGCTCCCCCAGCATCAGCTGGAAGATGGAAACTATCTATAAGAGCACTGACTTTGGAGGGATGTGAGCTGAGAGGAACAAAAAGGCTCAATAAAGAAGCAGGAAAGGAAAAATTCCTATTTACCAGCTTCCTGGCTTTTGATGCATTTACTATTGGAATTGCCATCTCTACCCATCCCACTAGAAGTTCTAACCTTTGTTTGGCTTATGCTGTTAATTCCAGTGCTATAGTCTGACTAAAGTAAATATTAATACTTCTATCTTCAAATACACATTCAATAGATTTTTGAAGAGGATTCTTTGTTTGCTGAAGTAGTAAATGAATACTTACATTAGTATATCCACCAGAGACATGTCAGACCTGGTTCCAGTTTCATTTACCCTGTCTGTCTTCATCAGCCTGGGTGGAACAACCCTGCTACCATGAAGAGCAGAACAGCACATCAGAAGCATCACATTTATTTCTTAAGCTAACAGTAGTACAGCTGGAGCATGAGAGGCTTTTGTTAGCCCAGTGCAGCTGGAGAAACACACGAGGTTCAAGGGCTTCTTCTGCTTTCCTGGTATCACCACAGTTAGCCTAATAACAGCCATGACCTCTCTCTTCAAAATGGTCTTTGTTATTTGTGACATTCAGTCAAATGAAAAGAAGATCACAATAAATAGCATGTGGTTTTTTTGTCTTATTTTCTTCTATTTCATTACTGTGTCTGCAAGTTTGGGGGGCACCAAGGATTCCCAGAGAATTTCCTGTGCCTCCTCTAGTGTGGAGCCTCATCTGGAGCCTTTTTGCTCCCAGAGCATCTGACACACAGTGTCCCAGGGACTGGGGCACAGCCTCCTGTGGCAAAGGATCCCTGCATCTGCTCAACTCACACTCATTTCCAGCCACCTCAGGTTTGGCTGCAGCAGCTCTCCTAAACCCCAACACATCTGCTGGCTTAGAGGCACCACAGCAAAGTAGCCTAACAAACCAAAGCAATTGGTTTTAATAAGAATCTTGGCTTGTTTTGACAATGCACTGAATCTTCACGTTGGCATCGCCAGTGTTTTTTTAGGAAAATGTATGTATCTTTGCAGCACTCAGCAACTAAATCCCCTCTTCTCTTCATGGAAAGGGTTTCCTGGCTATCCTCTTTCTAGCAGATTCCAAGTCCCTCGCAGCTGTTTGTTGTCTGGGCTGGAAGTGCTTTCACATGGAGCTCGGTGGGCCACGTGTGGGCAGGGCATGAGGGGCATGCCCCGTGCCCCCCCTGCTTCCCATGGCACTCCCAAAGTGTGCAGGGGCACGGAGGGATCCCTGTGCTCCTGCCCTGGGGAGCAGAGGTGTTTCCATGGCTGCAGGATTGGCCGTCTCCTGCTCCCGGCCCTGTTACAGGCAGTAGCAAAACCCCCAGAGTTCAAAGGCATTTCATGCTCACTGAGCGTTTTTCAGCAAGAAATCTGAGATTAAATAAACTTGAATCCTCTCTGAGGAGAAAGCAGAAGATGGAGGGCGAGGAGCTGGCTCTCAGCTGCACAGCAGGGTCCCAGTGTACCTTGGAAAGCTCCCAGGTGAGGTGCACCTCAAACCAACATCTGGCTGCTTTTCCCCACAGGGCCGGCTCTGTGCCTGTTGGCAACGCTGTGGATTTCAGTGCCACGGCTGCCAGCCTGCTGCAAACCCCAAAGCCACCTGAGATGCTTCCCTAGCCTTTTGTCCCCAGGGGGTTGCTGAGGGTGGGATTTACACCGCATTCACATCTTTTCTCTGTGGTCATCCATAAGAGGTGACTGGTTAGCTTGTCACCAACAGAAGTATCCAGCTTTCAGGGTGTACAGGCACAAGACCCTGTCCTTCTGGAAAGAGCTGAGCTGTTCACTAGCAGAAGGCCACATTCTCCCCTTGTACTAAAGAAATAGGGCCCCAAGCACATCAGCAGCCATGGACTGAAAGGTGTCTGTGAGGATTGCTCATCCAGGCCTCAGAGAGCACGAAAAATCCACCTCTTTGATGTTTTCCCTCTCTTTAACAAATCTTCCTCAGTGGGAAAAAGAAACTCTTTTGGTGACACAGCTGACTGAAATGTCATTCCCACATGTGAGGGCTGTTAGTGCAGCCTCAGTGATGGAGCAAGCTGGAAATGCCTGTCCCCCCACACCTGAGCCCTAGACAGCAGCTGAGTGCAGGTGAGCTGGGAGGTTTCATTCCCCAAAGCTGGGGTCATATGTGTGCTCGGCTTCCAGGCTGGGATTCACCACCACCAGGCTCCAAAAGCTGCTGGTGTTCCTGCTGATGTGCCCAGGGCATGGAGACCTCTGCCCCAGGGTGCTTCAGAGCTTAACTCCATTGACTTCCTGAGACAGACACATAACCCCACCGAGGATCTGGACCCAGGGTGGCTTGGAAAACCCTGCTAGATACCATTCCTCATCTCCAGGTGACTAAATACTTCTGAAATCCCATCCCAAATTCCCTCAGGGATTTTGGATAAGTCTTTCCTGGGCTGCTCAGTTGAAAGTCACTGTGGCTTTGCTTGAAAATCTTTCCAGGTCAGGTCTGACTTAGACCTGTCCCTGAAAAAGCCATGGAGCTCTCAAGCTGAGAATGCTGCAGTGGCAATTAGCACATCTTCTCTGCTGTAGACAAGAGGAGTCCAGGACAGACCTTAAAGCTTGAGAGACAGACATACAAGAGTGTTATGTCCTCTGTCTGAAAGCTGAATTCCAGGGAGGGCGGAAACAGCAATGTAGGACAGCTGTGAGTTTGCTTAGTATTAATATCAAATATAATGGTAATTCAAAACAGAGTCTTTTGGTACAGATCTGAACTGCACGAGCCAAGTTATGAAATGATATTAGCAGCTGGATCTGAGGAGCAGCTGAGACTAAGCTGGCCATGCGTCTCATCTGCAGAGAATATTTAAATAAGTAAACACAATGAGTTAATAAATACATGAAATAACTTTGCAAGATAAGCACCTAGTGGTGTGGCAGGTTGTCAGAATGATCACATCCAGGGGAAACCCTGAAAGGGAAAAATGCATATGGCACAATGCTGGATATTTTTTGAGTATTCGATTGACTGAGCAGCATGGCCCAGAATGGTGAACATTTATGATGATCCTTATCTGCTGGCAGGTGAGAGGATCCTATTGCCATTGCCAAAGCCTTAACTCATCTTGGCACCATAAGCTGAAACCTTTTAAAGACCTTTTAGCTACATCCCTGTGTAGGCAGAAGGGGCTATCATTTTAACAGCATCAAAGGTATAGAAAGCCGTGCTGCTTTCCAGTAATTCCCTGATAACAGCTAGAGGGTGAAACAAACCTGCTGGTGGTCTAATCTGAACTGGAGGACCAAAAAAACGCTAAACACTGATTCTGGGAAAGGAACCATTCCTTAAAAACAAGCCAGACAGATCCAGTGTCCTGAATTCTTAAATCTTAATTTGTGCATGCACCTAAACGTCTCCAGCGAGGGTTTAACCTATAGAGGATTTCAGGATCTGACCCAAGGGAAGCTCTAGAGGGACCACCAGAGTTCAGGGGTTTTATTAAGAAATCTCTCCCCCTGCCCAGCAGATTGAGGGCTTGAGCACAAGGTCAATGGCACCCAACTGCTCCACATCCACAGCTCCCAAACACATCCAACCCCTCTGACTCTGGATCACGTTCTTTTATTGACAGAGGAGGCAGAATATTCATTGCATACCAAGGACATTTTTGTACAGGATTTTTTTGTAATCTAAGCATCTCCCTGGAAGATATCAACAATTTGATTCTCATAGGCTCTGGAAATGCATGGTACTTCCAGTTTATGAGCCTCAGCTTTTTTTTCTCTGGGTGGTACAAAATGTTACTGAAAATTAACACTGCTACTAACAATAGGTGATCAGAGTGATACTTGCAGTCATTTCAGAAAAAATCAAAGCCCAAGTTTATTTTGGTTCTCTAAACTAGATCACTTAACACTGTTTTAATTTAGAACAGGACCTTGCTTCAGCTCTTGCATGGGTGGGTTCAAACAGGGCTGACCATCTCAAAGATGCACAAGCTGAATTCTCCTGACTTCATTCTTGTTCACTCTCCTTTTATGCAGGATAAGATAAATTGGGTCATTCAGTAGAATCAAACCACATCCATCCAGGTTTCCTGGGGTTTATTTCCAACAGGTGTAAAATCCCTGTTTTAGAATACAGCAGCAGAGCCTCTCTCCAGCAAATCTTCCATCAGTGAGAAAGGTTTACTCCATGAGGGAAAAGAGCTGTGTCAAGGCCTGGTACATGAAAGCAGGTCTCACCAACTATCAATACCACTTTTTCCTTGCCTCTTGTAAGTAATTCATGAACAAAGTTAAATTTTATAGAGGCAGGTTGTGATGGGTGGCAGATCACACAGTTGTGATGCTTGGAGGATAAGTGCTTTACAATTCAGTCTGACTAGCAGAAGCTGCAGAAATAAATTCAGTTGCCACTCCATCATCCTCTCCCCATTTTGCTCCCTCGTGAGCAGCTGCACATCTGCCTGGCAGGGGAGGCAGAGGAGCTCTGCACTGTGGGGCTGTGCTTGGGTTCACTACCCCTTCCCACCTCTGTCAGCCCTGAGTATGGAGCCAATAATAGGAAGGCTCCATACCCCAACAGCAGCCCTCAAAGGTGATTTGCACTTTCACAGCCTGGTTTGAAGTTGCAAAGCATATTGGGGGAGTTAGTTAATGATACAGACAGGTATAAAATATATGCAAGCACATGAAACAGAGGAGTGAAATGGCTTGAACCAACCAGACAGAGCAGTCAGCCCAAGAGCACAAACACAGAAATATGATGGGTATGAAATCATTGGGAGCCAATCAGTAAGCTCCAACTTCTAAAGCAATTTCATAATTGAGTAATGGGACACAGCAGGGTCTGAACTATTGTGTATTATAATCTGAATGGAATGCTGTGAGAAGGCTGGAGCAATCTGATCGCACTGAGCCCTCGCTCACCAGAAATGCCTTTGACATATTTCCTTAAAGCGCAGCAATGAGAGCGGAATAACTGCTTGTTAATGACACCCTGATGGGCTGTCTGCAGCACTGAAACTGAGATAGCATAGATTGGAAAGCATGTGCCTCTCCTTGGCTGGAGTTAACACAGCAGCCCCCACAGACTGCCCACCCACTGCAGCCTTAATCGCCGGCGTGCCTGTACAATCACCAGTTTCACTTCGCTACATATTTCCTCCCCCAGAACCTTGCTTATAAAAATAAGAGGCACCAATAATCTGAGATGATCCCACGCCAGCGTCCTGCCATGGCACAGTGCTCCTGCTCCGTGCTGGCCAGCCCATGGCTAGCTGCACAGCTATGTAAGCTGGGCTCTGTTCCTTTCCCATTTTTCAGTCCCTCCTTGGATATGTGTGCACTGACTCCACCAAGGAAATATCACCTTCTCCCGGTTCGAAAGACATCACCCATTCTACCTCCTCTTTACCCCTTCTCTCTGCTCTGCTTGTAGATCATCCTTGCTCTGAGGCTGACAGCAGAACAAAGTGGGCTTTCAGACTTCGCAGACAGTTAAGGTTTATGTGTCACGGATGCACGTGGAATCACCTCAGAGGAGATCAAGAGTCAGTTTGAACCAGCAGCTCCTCAGATCTGGTGCTCTCCTTTGGCAGAGGCCTGTCCAGCAGAAGACACGAGCACATGTTCCAGGAGGTCTGTTCCAGAGAACAGCTCCTCTCGCTATCTTCCTCCTGCTTCCACATCTTACATCTGCTTGGAATGTAGAGGCTGATTTGGGACCTGACTCTGGCTCCTGGCGAAGGCATCCTGACTTGTCAGTCCCTGCAAAGGCTGCTGCAAGAAGCCTTGATAACAACTTGGGTTGTGTCCACCATGCAGAGCCAGTGCCTGATGCTGGACACCCCAAGGTGCCAAACGCTGTCGTTCTTGCTCAGCCCAGCTTCCTGCTCCAGGCAAATGGTATTTGATGAGCGGCTGCTCAAGCACTGGGGGTTTGACCCTCACGTGTGTCCAGCCCTCCCCAGCACTGACATGGTCTGCTCATCAGCCAGTAACTCAGTTTGCAATAGAGCCAGCTGAAAATTTTTCAACAGAGTGATTTCTCATCCAGTAAAGTCTATTTAAAAATCAAAATATTTCTCGGCAGTTTGTCAATTTCAATGAAATTTTACACCAGGAGAATGTCAAAACACGGTGTTTCATCACCACCGTGCTGGTTCTTCTCAATGGCATTGACATGCTTCGCTTCATTCTGGTCGTTTTGCTTCCACTGCTGCACATAGCTGAATATTGACTCAAACCTTCTAGAGAGTTTAGATTTTCCACTGCCTAATGTCTTAGTTTTTCCTGATTTGGTATAATAGGAAAGTAGGAATAAATAATTTAAATAAGACTTTCTTTTCTGAATAGTTCCTAAATAAAAAAATTACATTTTGTGGGAAACTTCCAAATTTCACCTTTTAATATTGATTCAATAATAGAAGGAACTGGGGAGTGTCAGAGCTTCCCCTACAGTGGAAGTTCCACCTTCTGAGAAGCTCCCATTAAGACCCAGCCTGACCCAGCTGCAACCCTTGGGTCTGTGGGAAGGCCCAGGGTAGATCTGCTTCCCAAGCCCAGCAACAGCCAGAGAACAGAACTGGCAAATCAGCCCTTTCTGAATCATCACAGCTCTGATGGAGCCTGTCCTCCGTGCAAGGAAAATGTACCTCAGCAACAGAAATAAGATCTTAAATCAAATCAGACACAGCTTGAAATATTTATCTACTGTTCTGGGAAGAGGGATTGTAGTGGAACAAATCCTCAGAGTTATTTTGCTTGTAAGATGGGAAGAAGAAAAGAAAATCTGAATGCAGTTTGACCAAAAGTGAGGAAGATGACACATGAATGTGAAGAAACTCCAGCCACTGAAGTAGTAACACCCTATGACATTGAGCAGGCAGCCTCCCCAGAGGCTGAGCAGCTAGAACCCACACAAGACACCTCCAAAAGCAGAGGAAACTCTTGGTGTAAGTCACAGTGCAAGTGCTCATGAAACACGAGACCTCTCAGTGCAGAGCACCAGAGCTGGGTGAGGCTCAGCCGCTCCCCTCTTCCAGAGCAGCACTCTTGGGACACACATGCTCCACTCCTTCTGAAGGTGCCCTGTGGCTGCTGGAGTGCATCTGCCATCAGCCTGAGCCCTGTTTCAGGTGCTGCAGCTCCTTGCTGTGTGCTGGCTGATAACCTGGCAGGGCAGGAAGCAGAGGTGACCATCCAAGCTGTGCCAAGGGATGACAGTCATCTGCAGAAAGACAGAGGAGCATGAGCTGGCAGGTTGAGATGTGAACCAAAGTAATGGTTCCACACTTCTCTAGAGGAGCCATCCGAAATATCCAGTAGCACCCAGGGGAATGTTTGCCCTAGAAAAGGCTTCAAGCCTGTTCCAGGGACAGTTTCTAAGATCACCCATGAAATGACTTCACCTCTGCAAGGCAAACCAAGCGTTACAGCCCTAGGAGGTGAAGAACCTGGCCTGTAAGACCTCAGCCTTTGCTCCTACACCCACCAGCATTCTGTTGCACCTAAGCTGGCTACAGTCTTTGGATCCCATTCAAGAGGAACGTGTCCAGTCTGTTACCTGCTCTTCTCTCCCCTTCCCTCCAGCCTTTTCCCTGGTCATCCAACCGGAGCCGAGTCCAGCTGCGAAATGACCACACTCCTTATATAAAGCAGGGACTGAGAGTTTCTCTCTCATGGGTGCCCACCCCAGCCAGAGGGTTACAAACTGCAAGGTTAGATCATAAGTAAAACAGGGTGGGAACTTCCTAGCAGAGCAAGGAAGCCTCTCAGGGCAATCTCAGTGCAAATAAACAAATAGTGTATTTCAAACGTGACAGATGTGCAGCCCCAAATATTTGAGGTTGGCTACCCTGAAGTGGAGCCCTGAGGACCAGAGGCCCCCCTGAAATGCAGTGATTAGAGTACAGTAACCATGTCCAAGGAGGGAGCAAAGTGACAGAGCCAGGCTGTGGTTTCACAGCTGCACTGGCCTGGGCGATGAAATCAGGCCCAGACAGGAAGCAGTTTTCCTCAACAGTAAGCTGCTATTTTTACCCATCTCTGTTCTCCAATCAAAGAGACATTTGGAGTCAGTGGACTCTGTTCTGCTGCCTGTCACGACAGCACCAATGTCTGGAATGGGGCTGGGCAATGAGCACTGCTGGCTCCCCTCTCTATCAGTATTCCTCTGTATCAGTATCTCTAACACCCCCTGGTCATCTCAGCTTCCCCCTGGTCATCAACATTGCTTCCATGGGTCAGACCACTCAGGTCTGAATCCCAGTGGCTGCATCTGCCCTGTGTAAGAGGAGCAAGCTGGATTCCCATGGATCAAACAGCCCAGGGCAAGCATGAGAGGCTGCAGCAGCCACAGCAGCCACTGACCCTGCTGCTGCACCACCCAATGCAGCGTTAGCCTCTAGGAATTATGGAGGAGGAGCTGCAGGGCATGGATGTGTTCAGTGCTTTCCTCTCTCAGCTGCTGTGTGAGGATCTCATATTGCTATTTATACATGGAGGTGATGGTTTCCTTTAGCTCCTGCGTGTCCTGGCCCTGAGCACAGCCCTGGCTCCCACCTCGGGGCCTCAGCTGGGCTGGGCAGTGCAGGCAGCTCCATCTGCCACTTTGTGCAAGGTGACAGCTCTGTTTATTCCCCATTTCTCCTTCTCCCCACCCCACAGCAGCAATGTGGGCTGAGGGAGTGGCAACACTTCCCAAATCCCAGAGCAATAGATCTGGAGTGAAGTCACGAATAACTGCTGCTTCACAGGAACGAGCTGGAAAATAGAGCTAGGAAGGGGGAACAAGCTGTTTATGCCAGAACCGCTGACATCCAGTAACACCAAAAAGCAGTGAGGGGGAACATTACCATCCCCTTCTCCAGTGGCTGATTTTCCCCCAATTTCAGTGCTTGTCTGTGGGAAATCTGAGCTCAGCTGGAAGAAGGTGGAGTGAGATGGGCAGGGGTTTGCAGCTCTGGCAGGAAGGAGCCCCTGGCCCCATGTCCCACCAAGGGCTGAGGCTGCAATTCTGTGCCACCTTCCTCCCCACCAGGCACAACTCTGGGCACTCTTTCAGCTTTGCTTGATGTTTGTGCACATGTGGTGACCTGAAAATCCCATCACACCACCCTACCACTGTCACTGCCCTGTTCAGCAGATGTTTAATAGCAGAAAATCCTCTGATCTCCAGCTCTCTCCAAAGCTCCAGTCCCAGCTCACTGAGGACCCTGCCACACTGCACAGACAAATCGGGAAGCTGAAGACTAGACTTAATAAAAACATATAAATTAACATATGCCTCCTAGGGGGGTAGTTAGGCTCAGCTCATTAGTGGTTTAAAGCATATCCAATGCTCTAAGTTATTTGTTTGTTTGTATTTTTGCAGCTGTCCTTAGTTTTCTTAGGTCAAGTAGAGGTGTGAGGTCCAAAATAGTATCGGGATGGTTGAGCTTATGTTTCCAGCTCTGAAAAAACAATGAAGTGCTAATAAAAAAAAAAAGCCTTGTGAGAAAGATTTCACTCCAAAGCTCTTTGCAAACAACACACAACAGCATGGAAATGCAGGAGCCTCTGCTCCCCGAGGAGGGGAGCTGCTGCCAGCTACTTTGGGAGGAGAAGTGGAATCTCGGTGGCCTGGGGAGAAATTTTGGACACGGATACCAGAGTAAGAGAAGTCCTTGGATCTTTGCTCTCTGAGCGATGCTGCTCAGCTGGGCGGCCCATGGGGTCAGAGGAGCCCGTCCATCCAACCTGCTGCTCACTGCCCCTGAGATCCAGCTCTGCCTGCTCCAGCTCTCCCAGCTCCGTGGGAGCAGCCCCAGCCCTGCAGAGCCTCTCTGGAGCACAGCCACGTTAGCTCAGGCTCATTCTCTAGATAGAGAGCAATGGGTGCATGTTCCCAAAATACAGGGACCGTGTTTGGGCTGAGGGGAGCAGCTCTTCCCCCCATACCCTGCCCTCAGAAACAAAGAGGTGCTTGAAGCAGACGTGTCCTGTTTTAAATTGCTCTTCCCTTGCTGAGCACAGCATTAGAGATCTGGAAGTGCAAAGGGATAAGTAAGGCTTAGAAGCCTCAAAAAATGCTACAGAAGAGCTGTCACCCCTCTCCAGAGTGCACTGAGCACAGCAGCTCCTGCACTTCCCTGTGCAGGCTCTGGAAGAGAAGATCTGACTTCTCTTCCAGCTGGCAGTGTTGAAGTGGGCCTGCACGTTTGCATCCTGGAGTGGAGAAATATTGAACTGTGGCTGAAGATTCCTGTTTCTGCAGGGAGCAGAGACAGTTCTCCAACTGGCTTGGCCTTATTTGGTGACAAGGTGACTTGTTTGATGTCTGCTGGATGAGGGGCTGCACTGAGGGGATGCAGGGCAGCACCAAGGTGTTGTGCTGAGGTCAGGGCAGCATGTTCACCTTTGGATGACATAAAATCAGACTGAGGGTTCAGGCAAAGCCTGCAAACCAAGAGAGAGCTTAGGAGAGGACCTCTTCACTTGCTTTGGTTAACTCCATCAGGGACGTGCCACCCTTTTTAAGCAAAGAAACTCCACTAAAAAGAAATGACACCTTAGCTTGTGATGGCCTCTCCATTGCTGGGTTTAAACACTGCTGGGCGGTGATGGAAGAACAAACCATCAAGCAACACTCTGATGGAAACTTTATCCCTGAAGATTGCCCTGAGCACAGCAGGAATTACTGCTCAGTGTCCTACCTTTGAGAAGAGGTCAGGAAGAATCTTCCCACAAGATCCCCCTCTTCCTACATCAGTCATTAACTGCAACCCTCTTTGCCATCAAGAGAAAAAAAAACATATCTTTAGAACCCCAGAGGTAAAATCAGAGGCTTTATCACAGTGATGGGGTGATTTTTTGAGCAACATGTGAACTGTCCCTTCCATTTAACAGCAACCTCTTAACATGCAAAACCCTTCCCTCCCCTGGCACTCCTGTCCCCACTTCCAGCACACAACTTTAATCTTAGCAGTCACTAACAGTGGGCTCAGCCCAGGCAAAACTATGGCTCTATGAAAGCCACCAGGATTCTCAGGTTTTTGGGTGCAGCTGGAATCTCACCAGCCAGATTTCAGATGGGCAAGAAGAAGTCCACTCAAGCAGGAGAGATGCTGTGTGGCTGCAGGAGGAGCTAAAGGAGCCCTCAGACGAGGCTGTCCAGCCAGACAAGGACTGAGCCCCATGGCCAGGCAGGACAGGAGCTGGGGCAGCCTTATCTCACACTGCTCATACTCAAGCCCATTCCAGGAAAGTGTTGTTGTTTTGATCCTTCTTCGAGGGAATGAGCTCAGATGAAACTGAAGCAGGTGCTAATTAAAAACAGGACTATTCTTCAAACCGGGC